GTTATACATCGTCTTTGGCTTCATCCAGCCTTTGGCTTTTTGTTTGAGATCTTTTTAGATAGGTGACTATAAATGACAGGACAAATCCCATGTCATTATTCTCTTTAAAAAAAGTTTCTTTGCAGTTTTTGTTTTTATTTTTAGATTTTTTAGTCAATCAGCTTGTTAAGTTGTATTTAACAGACTATTCCTGGGGTTTTGTTTGGGACTCTATTAAATGTTATAGATTAATTTGGAGTCTGACAGTACTATTATAGTTTCCCATGCAAAGCATGGTTTGTTTTCATTCAAATCTAGTGTTATGTTCATCAGTCATATATTTAAATTTTATTCTGTTGCGCTTGTACATTTTCTTGTTAAGACATTTTAGTGTTTTTGTTGCTGTAGTAGTATATGGAAACTTTTAAATCACATTTTCTATTTGGTTATTGCAAGTGTTCGGTGAAAATACAATGTCTTAGTTATATAATTTTATTCTTGTAAAACAGTATTTCATTTATTTTAAGCCTGGGAATATAGCTGAATTTGATAGTTCATATAATGATATATTGGAATATAGGCAGTCTTTTAAATTTTAAATAATAAGTAAAATTAAGACTTTTGACTTGCCCAGGTACCTCAGTTGGTTAGAGCATTGCCTGGATAAACCAAGGTTTTTGGTTTGATTCACAGCCAGGGCACATAGAGGAAGCAACCAGTGAATGCATAAATAAGTGGAACAGCAAATCATTGTTTGTTTGTCTCTCTTTTATTTTTTGAATATATTTTATTGATTATGTTATTATAGTTGTCCCATTTTTTTCCTCCCCTTTAATTCCCCTCTGCTCTGTACCCTCCTCCCACCATCATTCGCTTGTCTTAGTTCATGTCCATGGGTCAAACATGTTAAGTTTTTTGGCTACTCCATTTCCCATACTAGTCTAAACCTTCCCATCTATTTTGTACCTATCATTTATGCTTTTTATTCCCTGTACCTTTCTCCCCATTCTCCCCCCTCACTCCTCCCTGCTAATAACCCTCCATATGATCTCTATTTCTGTGAATCTGTTCCTGTGCTAGTTTTTGTGTAGCTTGTTTTCATTTTTGTTTTTTTCAGGTTCAGTTGTTGATAGTTGTGAGTTTGTTGTCATTTTACTGTTCATAGTTTTAAATATCTTCTTTTCTTAGATAAGTCCCTTTAACATTTCATATAATAAGGGCTTACTGATGATGAACTCCTTTAACTTGACCTTATCTGGAAAGCACTATCTGCCCTTCCATTCTAAATGATAGCTTTGCTGAATAGAGTAATCTTAGATGTAGGTCCTTTCCTTTCATGACTTTCAATACTTTCCAGCCCTTTCTTGCCTGTAGGGTTTCTTTTGAGAAATCAGCTGATAGTCTTATGGGAACTCCTTTGTAGGTAACTGTCTCCTTTCCTCTTGCCATTTTTAAGATTCTTTCCTTACCTTTATCTTGGGTAATGTAATTTTGACGTGCTTTGGTGTGTCCTTCCTTGGGTCCAACTTCTGAGGGACTCTGTGCTTCCTGGGCATCCTGGAAGTCTGTTTCCTTTGTCAGATTAGGGAAGTTGTCCTTCATTATGTATTCAAATAAGTTTTCCATTTCTTGCTCTTACTCTTCTCTTTCTGGCACCCCTATGGTTCGGATGTTTGGAACATTTAAAGTTGTCCTGGAGGTTCCTAAGCCTCTATGCATGTTTTTGAATTCTTGTTTCTTTATTCTGTTCCAGTGGAATGTTTCTTTTTCCTTCTGCTCCAAATCATTGATTTGAGTCCTGGTTTCCTTCCCATAACTGCTGGTTCCCTGTGCATTTTCCTTTATTTCACTTTTTATAGCTTTCACTTTTTCATCTATTTTGTGATCATACTTAATCATTTCTTTAAGCAGCCCGATTTACCAGTGTTTTGAACTATGCATCTGATAGGTTGGCTGTCTCTTCATCACTTAGTTGTATTTTTTCTGGAGCTTTGATGTCTTCTTTCATTTGGGCCATATTTTTTTGTCTCAGTGTACATATTAAGGGGCAGAGCCTTAGGTATTTACCAGGATGGTGCAACTCCACTTTGCTGCGCTGTGGTGCTGTATGTGGGGGAGGGGTCTGAGAGGGAACAATGTTGCTTGCTCAGTTCTCAGCTGGCTTTCAGTCATTTCTTCTGCTACCCACAAGGCAAATTGGGCCCTTCTGGTGCTGATTCCTGGCTGGGTGTTTTTGTGTACATCCTAGGACCCTGTGGGTCTCTCCAACAAACTTTCCTTTTTTTTTTTTTTTTTAAGATTTTATTTATTTATTTTTAGAGAGGGAAGGGAGGGAGAAAGAGAAAGAGAGAAACATCAATGTGCGGTTGCTGGGGGCCGTGGCCTACAACCCAGGCATGTGCCCTGACTGGAAATTGAACCTGTGACATTTTTGTTCGAAGCCCATGCTCAATCCACTGAGCTACGCCAGGCAGGGCCAAACTTTCCTTTGAGGCTGGGAGTTTCTCCCGCTGCCTCAAACCCCACAGATTTTTTCAGTCAAAGTTTTGAGGCTTTATTTCCCTGTACTGGAACCCTGGGTTCCCTGTTTTGCCTCACTCCCCAGTAGTTCTTCCCATTTTAACTATACGAAAATGTGGGACTGCCTGCTCTGCCAGCCTCCGCCTTTCCTAGTGCACCAGCCATCCCCTGCCCACCCCATCCTCTAGCCCCCACCTTGCCATGAGTCCTTTCCATCCCTGCTGCGAGCATCTGCCCCTCCTGTCTCAGTATGAATGTTTCTTATTTAACTCCCTGGTTGTTGCACTTCCATACAGTTCGATTTTCTGGCAGTTCTCGTTATTTTTTGTTTTCAAGTTTGTTGTCCTTTTGGTTGTGGGAGGAGGTAAAGTGTATCTATACCTCTAGCTTGGCCAGAAATCTCTCTCTCTCTTTCAATCTCTTTCTCCCCCTGCTCCAACCCACCTCCCTCTCCCTAACCCCTGCCTTTTCCCTGAGCCCTCTCACTAAAATCACTAAATACATTTTTTTAAATTAAGATGTTTAATTTAGTTTCCGCCCACCAAAATTTCTTTTAATCCTCAGATAAATGACAGTTTTGAGAAAGCCTAATTACAAGTTAGCAATTTCATTTTTCTAAACAAATTATCTTGAACAGGCTAGTTTTCAGACAGAGTTAAAATGTTATCTGTTCTAGAAAGAAGCTTTTACTATCTTGCAATACTCATTAAGTTATCTGTTAGCTACTACATTACTATGGGAATCCATTTGTATAGTACTTTATCCTGTGGCTCACCTGACTTCCAAAAAACTAAAAGCTCCTTTCTGAGGGGAATTCTGTCTTAATTGTTACTGTTTTTTATTATTATTAAAGATTTTATCTATTTATTTTTAGAGAGAGGGGAAGGTAGGGAGAAAAAGAGGGAGAGAAACACTGATTTGGTTGGTTGTCTCTTTTATGTGCCCCTACTGGGGACTGAATCCACAACCCAAGCATGTGCCTTGACATAGGATTGAACTGATGACGTTTTACTTTTTGGGATGATGCCCAACCAACTGAGCCACACCAGTCCAGGCTGGTTTTTTTGTTTGTTTTGTTTTTGTTAGATCTCCAATGCCTTATGTAATATCTAGAACATAGAATACCCAATCCGTATTTGTTGAATGGGTAATAGTAATGTTGAAAAGGGAATTCTGATACCATTATTTTAAAAATAAAACTGCAGAAAAATAAAATTGTAAACTAGTTTCTTCTGAGCATGTTTTTTTTTTTTGGTTACAGAACTTTCTAATAACACAGGGTTATGAAGAAAAGGTACAATTTTGTTTTGATTAGTGATAGTTTTTATCAAGTGGTTTTAAAGGATCATTTGTTGTATAATATTAATGTTAAAAATTAATATAAGTTTTGTTATAAGAAATTAAAATTCAGTGATATATATTGATAACTTTGTTAGTAACTTAGGACCACAGCAGTGTAGTTTCACTAAGTTTTTCATTATGGGACTCATAACTGCTATGAAAGTATGTGAAGTCCAAGTTTTATTATTGTTTTGAGATTCTCTTTCAACATGTCATATTATCAGATAAAAGATTTTATAAGACCTGGGAGGTTTAAAATAATCAGTTACCAAGTAAAGATGTACTTTAAAAATCAGAACTGTTTATGCATCCATAAAAATTACAAAACTGAGCTAAACTTTTCACCTGTGATTCTAGTAATTGGAGCCTTAAAAATGAAAAGAATCAGTGTCCAGTTGAGAAAAGTTAACATGAAAAGGGAGGGGTGATGCTAAATTACTTGTTTGTGGTTATTTTGGTGGGCAAGATGCATAATAGCTTCTAGTTTTATTTCTTACAACAAAACAGCTTTTGCTCTTTGATAGAATTATACCAAAACTACAATGTTAATGAATTGTCTTATAAAACAATTGAGTTTCAATTTTGATGTAGGTTTATAGTAATTATTTAACAGTTAAAAAATAGACCAATTTTTTATAACAGTTTTAGGCTCACAGAAAAATTACAGACTCCCTGTATATTCTACATTCACTTTTCTCAACAACATTAATAGGTACATTTGTTAAAATTAATGAACCTGCTCAGTGTATTCAGCGTGGGCTGGGAACCAAAGTGTCCCAGGTTCGATTCCCAGCCAGGGTACATTCCTGGGTTGCAGGCCATAACTCCCAGCAACCGCACATTGATGTTTCTCTCTCTCTCTCTCTCTCTCTCTCTCCCCCCCTTCCCTCTCTAAAAATAAATAAGTAAAATCTTTAAAATTAATGAACCTATATTAATATATACTTTGTTCAAGTTTCCTTAGTTTTGATCTAATTCCACATCATTTTACCACCCAATTTTATACTGTGCAGTTGGATATAGTATATTATTTTATCTGGAAAGTAAAGTACTTAGTGGTATTTTGCTATTGATTGATGTAAGATGTAGGTGCATTTTTATTTCTCATGGAAATAAATTTTTGTATGTGTATTTTTTTTTTGTCTGACTTTCTTTTTTAGTTTACGAGGAAATATTTCAGTAAAAGCAGTTAAAAAGGAAGTAGAAAAGAAACTACGGTGTCTACTTGCTGATTTACCACTGCCCCCTGAGTTACCAGGAGGAGATGATCTCTCAAAGAGTCCAGAGGAGAAGAAAACAACAGCACAATTACATAATAAACGGAGGCCTAAGTATGTGCTTGCTTTCTACCTACTCTTAAATTGACCAGAGATGATTCTGGATCATCATAATAAACTCATAAAACACACAATTAAGATTTAAAGTAATAAACAGTGTACTTTTTTTCTTTCAACTTAAGTATGTGAATAAACTCCATTAGAGTTTTGAAAAAAAATTCATGATTGCATGCATACCTGTTTGAAATGACTAATAAAACCAAATTTAATTTTCTCTCAGAGTTTGTAATATATTAATTTTGTATTGTGCCAAAGATAACCTTTATAATTAAGATATTTAAATAACATAGAATCACTAAAATTGGACAAGGTGGAAGTCAGCATTAAGTGAGCTGGAACAGAATTAGTAATGGGAATGCTGCTAGGCTTTCCTTGGATTTGCTGCCATAATTAAATCCCTTTATTTTTACAAGAGGTTGAATGAAAGAATGGTTAAATCTGTATGCTACACTCCTTCAAGTAAGTCCCTGGAGATAACTCTTTCCCTTGATACCTGTTCATCAGTTAAGTTGGGAGAATATTGATTCCTTTTTTTCTTTTTTTTTAATGTAACCAATTGAAAGTATAAGACTTTGAAATAGGTCTGATTTAAGCATTGCTGTTCCAAGGAGCACCTAGTATGAGGTTATTTTTCTACTATGGAGTAGAAAATTAGAAAACTTTTTAAAATAGTGTTTTCTTGAGTGTTAAGAGCTTTATTCCTTTACTTGAATTTCTGATAGCTACCAGAATATTAAAATACTACAAAATTACATGTCTTTTTGAAGAATGTCAAATATTTATCACATGTATAACACACACACTTAACGTGTGGATTACTGAGAGTTGATTTTATTAATACTTTCGTATTCTCTTAGACTAAAAGTCTTTTTGGTATTTCCACTGTTAAGATAATTTTATCTATCGTAAGTCTGAATTTATCAGTGAGCCTTATGATTAGATGTTTGGTGATTTTTATATCAAAATTTTGTATTTTGAAAATGTGTGTGTGTGTGTGTGTGTGTGTGTGTGTAAAACTTTCTGGAGGTTGGTAAGAACTTTAACTCTGCATATTAATGTTGGATTTGTCCACTCACTACAAAATGATGTTTTATTTATGGAAGTCCTTCATATAAGCTTTACTTTTACTCTTTCTCAATTTAAGTGCTAGTCTACATAAAAAGAGTCACTGTGGCGAATGATACCTTGCCTTTCATGATAATTTATATTACCAAATCCCAGAGTTACTTGTCTTAGATCACAAATGTGGAAGGGTGGGGAAATAAGGATGTAAGATTGGGTGGCAGGTAGATATTGAATATTTAACAGGTTATTCAATTTGCTTGATTGTATATAAAAACTTCAGAACTATATTTGATAGAATATGTGGGCCTCGCTTTGGTGAAATCAAAGAAAAAGATATTGACTGGGGAAAACGCTGCGTGGATAAATTCGATATCATTGGAATTATTGGAGAAGGTACCTATGGACAAGTTTACAAGGCCAGGGATAAAGACACTGGTAAGGATGTCAAATGCTCTGAATCTTCAGGTCAATGAATGTATTGATTTGTGTTTCTTTTTTAACGTATAACTTCAGGAATTTTCAGGAAAAAGGTTAAATTATTATTTCATCTTGGGATTTTTAGGCTTAATTAATTCTGACTTTTCATTGTATTTTTTATTGCCATTTATCCCCCTTAGACCTACCATCTTCCACCTCTACCAACCTGCTTCCCACAATCACCGCACTGTTGTCTCATGTCATTGAGTCCTTTTTCTGTTTTGCTGATCTTGTTTTTTTATTTTATTTTACAAATGCACTTTTGTAAATTGAGTATATGTAAGTGGATGTGCATACATTTATGATCTAAAAGTGTTCCTGTAGTATTCGTGATGTGTAGTATGGTGGGATTTAGGTTTCTTTTCTTTTATGGTGAATAGATTCTTAGGTTGTTAGTAATCATAGGGAAAAGGTATATTGACGTTAGGAGTCTTAGTAGTAAATTTTGTTGTAGTAATTATTATTGCAACATTTTTATTTTAGCCAAAAAAATTTTTTTATAGAAGTTATGCTTTATTTGGAGGTCTTTATTTATTTAGCAGCTTAATCTTTCAGATTTAAGCAGGAACTGAGAGAAAGCTTTAAAAGGCTTTGCAGAAGAGGAAAAAGTAACTGTCAGAGGAAATTCATTTTAAAGTAATGCCCTGAGCCAGAGTATAACCTTAAAATTCCTTGTTGAAATAACCCAGTAGGTTAAAATAGCATAGCTGTTTCTGAACATTTAATAAAGGGAGACTACCTGATGCTTAGAACCTCCTTTTAAGGCATTTATAGCATGGACTAGTAATACGTTGATAATAATGATTCTGCATTATTAAAAAGAAGTTAAATTATATCTTTCAAAGCTGTTTAATAAAATAAGTAATTGCCCCACATTTTAGAATGTATGCCCCCCCAAATTAAATATGTTTTAAAGATTAAAGAAATAAAATTCTTCTTTCGAACAGTTTGTACGTACAGAATTCCTTTTTATCTCCAAAGACGTGGAATCAACAAACCTTTATTATAGTGATGAATATTTTCTTATAATGGAATTGTATGTGTGTATGTGTATGCTTTATTTGATACAAACTTACTTATATCTAAATTATGAAGCTATTTTATGCAGTGGGAAGAGCATATACTTTTGAGACAGCTAAACCAGACTTTGAACCCCACTTTCACTACTGAATAACTGAGCAAGTTTAGGCAAGTTAATGTGTGAAAAGTTTTTCACCTGTACAATCTACAGAATTTTCTCATCTGTTCAGAGAGATTTTATGCATATATAAGTATATTGGATATATTTATCCTTTCCTCCATTACTTTTTAACAATGACAGTGTAATGTATCTAATCTGTCAACATTATGTGGTATGTTGGAAACTAAGTATATGCTTTGTGGGTTTTAATTTGAAGAGGTAGGAACAGAAATTATGAATTAAAGTAAATTTAAAATTAAGAAAAATGTGTTGTGGTCAGCTGGTAACCTGATTTTATTTAATTTCTAATAGGAGAAATGGTAGCCCTAAAAAAAGTACGTCTAGATAATGAAAAGGAAGGCTTTCCAATTACAGCAATTCGAGAAATTAAAATTCTCCGGCAGCTTACTCACCAGAGTATTATCAATATGAAGGAGATAGTTACTGATAAAGAAGATGCTTTGGATTTTAAAAAGGATAAAGGTATGTGTACATATTTACATAATCAGTTCTGTGTACTCATGATTTATCTGTCTTGCAGATTTTGTTATAGATACTGACCATTTTAGTAAATGTAGTTGAGTTGAAAAGTTAATTTATTTACTTTAGTGGGTTTTATGTCACCCAAGTAAACATCAGTACATTTACCAGTATCATACATAAAGTATTCACTAGCAGTAGTTGCTTTTTCAAGCAGCACTGTATAATTTTTTTCCTCATTTTTTTGGTGATTGAGAAACAGTGTATAGTGGTATTAGAATTTATATACCTTATATTTTTAATGTTATAATGCGTAACATAATGGGAAACTTCAGGTAGGGTTATACATTATTTCTAAAAGTGTGGAGGCAAAAATCTTACCTGAAATTGCATTTAATAAACTGCACCTGGTATATGGTTGGCTTTTAGCAGAAAAGCCAAAAATAAATTGGTGTATTTTTAAAGTGATTATCATTAGGGCACATGATGGGTGAAAGAAAGGCTACATTTCCAGTACGTTTTAGATCTTCAGAGTAAGATTTTGGAGTCAAGGCTGACTGCTTTATAATCTGTGGGTTTTGAAGAGCAGATTTTTTTTCAAACTAATTCTAATATAAAATAGATTAAAGTACCTATGTTCTGATTCAGCATGCTACTTAGACTCTGAGTGTTCTCAGCCACATGCACTCACACAGTCTTATTCCAGGAAAAACAGTATAAAATGATTGATATGATATATGATAATTGTTTTGTATAAAGGAATATCTGTTTGAAAGTATTATGTATGTACTATGGAGATCATCAGAATTATTTTTATTTTTCCTTTTTACTTAGAAAGTAGTTGCATTTTTTAAAATAATCTTTATTGTATTTTTTTTTCATTTCCATTTAATCTCCTTATATCCCCCTCCTCCCAGCAATCACTACACTGTTCAGAAATATTTTTTAAATGATGTCACTTCCATTAGTTTGTATTTTTAACTGTATTTTTCATCACTACTTTTTAAAGTATATTTTATTATGCTATTAGAGTTGTCTCAATTTTTTCTCCCCTTTATCCCCCTCTGCCCTGTAACCTACCACCCTCCAGCATCCACCCCCCACCCTTTTAGTTCATGTCCATGTAAGTTCTTTGGCTTCTCCATTTCCTATGCTCTTCTTAACCTCCCCCTGTGTGTTTTGTGCCTACCATTTATGCTACTTACTCCCTGTACCTTTTCCCCTCATTCTCCCCCTTGACCTCCCCACTGATAACTCTCCATGTGATTTCCATTTCTCTGATTCTGTTCCTGTCCTAGTTTTTGTTTTTGTTTTATAGGTTCATTTGTTGATAGTTATGAACTTGTCATTTTTCTGTTCAGTTTTTGATCTTCTTTTCTTAGATAAGTCTCTTTAACATTTCATATAATAAAGGCTTGGTGATCATGAACTCCTTTAACTTGACCTTATCTGGCAAGCACTTTATCTGCCCTTCCATTCTAAATGATAGCTTTGCTGGATAGAGTAATCTTGGATGTAGGTCCTTGACTTTCATGAGGAACCCAGAGGTTCCTCAACCTCTCCTCATTTTTTTGAATTCTTGTTTCTTCATTCTGTTCTGGTTGGATGTTTGTTTCTTCCTTTCGTTCAAATCATTGACTTGAGTTCCAGTTTCCTTCCCTTCACTGTTGGTTCCCTATATATTTTCCTATATTTCAATTGGTATAGCCTTTGTTTCTTCCTTCATTTTGCGACTGAACTTGTTCTTTTCTGTGAGCATCCTAATTACCAGTGTTTTGAACTCTGCATCTGGTAGGTTGTCTGTCTCCTTGTTGCTTAGTTCTTTTTCTGGCGTTTTGGTGGACCAAATTTCTTTGTCTTGGAGTACCCATTACATTGAAAGGGGCAGAGCCTTAGGTGTTCAGTCAGAGCTAGGTAACCTACTTGTGTTGTGGCACTGTCTGTGGGGGAGGGGTCAGAGTGGGAACAATGCCAACTTGCTAGCTTTCTCAGCTTTTGCCCCACTTTCTGTCACTTCCCTTGCTTCCCACAAGCAGATTGTGCCCTTTCAAGTGCTAATTCCCCGGTTGGTGGGCTTGTGTATGTTCTAGGATCCCAGGGGCCTTTCCAGTGGACTCTCCTACAAGAGTGGGAGTTTCTCCCGCCACTACAACCCCCACAGGTTTTCATGGCCAGAGTTTTTGAGGCTTTATTTCCCTGTGGTGGAACCTGGGGTTGTGCAGTTTGTCTTGCTCCACAGTTGTTCCTCCCAGCTTATCCAAATGTGAATGTGGGAAATCCTGATTGCCAGTTGCGATGCTGTGAGTCTGTCTGCCCTGGCTTCCAGTCTCTGCCCCTCCTACCAGTCTGGATGAAAATTTCTTCTTTAACTCCTTGGTTGTTGGACTTCAGGCCCTTGATTTTCTGGCAATTTTGGTTGATTTTGTGTTTAAATTGGTTTTTATCCTTCTTTTGGTTGTATGAGGAAGGGAAGTGTTTCTACCTATGCCTCCATCTTGGCCAGACCTCTCATTACCTCTTATTGTGTAGTTGATAGGGTACTGGTTTGACTTAGGTTATTATGTATGGGATTTGTGACTTAGCTTATTAGCAGTGTTAATAAGACCTTTTTAGCAAGATCTTTAGCCCTTCTGAGGCTGTTAACCTTCCATGTATTTAAGGGAAACATTATTTCTCTTACTGTGTTAAGAATTAAATTAAAATTTTATAACTGAGAATTGTATGGATATGTTGCTTTTCATTAACATTGTACTATAGCCAAATTAATATATTCGATTTTCCTCCAAACATATCCTGAACTTCCTGCTTCTTTGATCTCTGAGATCATGCCATCTGCCTATTTCTCCAGTCCCATCTATGCCAATTTTCAGAGTGCTCACCAAACTTCGGTCACATTGGTCTTTTGAATTGTTACATATTCCAATGCACTTCTCAGCTTTAAATATGCTTCTTCCCTGGACTTAAACATCTCTACTCCCACCACTCACACACCACATACATACACACAAACATGTACGCACTTGATTTGAAAAGTTGACTTTTCACCTACTAGGTCTCAGCCTGAACGTTGCTTTATCCATTAGTAAGGCCTTACCTGAGCAGTCTTCCCATATTCTACTGAATATAGATAGACACACATAATTTAAGAGCCCTAGCTAGTTTCTTTCTTCATAACTTTTTTAGAATAACTGGATTGATTTGTTACCTATTTTTTTTTTCCCCATGAAGGTGGGAACCCTACCTGTTCTATTCACTGTTGTAACCTCTTACTGAGCTCAATGACTAGACTGTAGAAGGTATTGTATTGCTAATTGCTGAGTGGATAAATGAGCTCTACTTACTATAATCCTGTCCATACTTTAACATTTTTAAAAATATTACTACCTCTGAACATATACAGTGTTCATAGTTTCCATATATTTCTGGTCATAATTGATTTTCCATACCAGATTATAAATTCCCTGAACTCTTTGTTTTGCTTTGATTGCTGCATAGTGCCTAGCACTGTATCTTACAAATCATAGATTTCATGTTTTTGTACCTCATCGTTTTTTTCACCATAGTTTTGTTTGTAATTATGAGGTTTGATAAATAAGAAAGTATGTTCTGTGAGAATTTTCATTTAGATACTAGTTATTAGTTAACTGTATTGGAGTACATGAGAAAGTATTAAGTGTAAAAGATAATCCCTTTTAAAAATTATTTTATTGAGATATAATTGACATAACATTATATTAGATTCAACAATTAATATTTGTACATATGAAATCATCACAATAAATGCAGTTAATATCACCCAAGCTAGTTTTTCTTGTGATATCTTTTGAGATTCACTGTCTTAGCATCTTTCAAATATACAGTACAGTATTATTAGCTATAGTCATTATGCTGTGCATCACATCCCCATGACAATGTATTTTATAGCTGGGAGTTTGAGCCTTTTGACCACCTTCATCCATTTCACTTACCTCCCACCCCCTCCTGTGGCAATCAGTAATCTTTTACTTAGCATAATGGCTTCAATATTATATTATAGTAAATGTCAACATTTCCTTATTTTTTATGGCTGAATATTCCATTGTAGGTATATATATGTGTGCATCACTTTTTTAAAAATCATTGTTCAAGTAGTTTTCTCCCTTTTACTCCCATTCCAGCCCGCCCACCCATCCCACACCACATCCCTCTCATTACCACCCTCTCCCTGGTTTTTGTCCATGTGTCCTTTAAATTTGTTCCTGTAAACCCTTCCCATTCTCCCCTGAAATTCCCTCTTCTCTTCCCCCTGGTCACTGTCAGCCTGTCAGAGACTATATTTTGCTTGTTTCTTTCTTTTGTTGTTTAGGTTCCTGTTAAAGATGAGATCATATGGTATTTGTCTTTCAATGCCTGGCTTATTTCGCTTACCATAACACTTTCCGCCTCCATCCATGCTGTTGCAAAGGGTAGGAGCTCCTTCTTTCTTCCTGCTCCATAGAATTCCATTGTGTAAATGTACCATAGTTCTTTGATCCATTCATTTACTGATAGGCATCTACATTGCTTCCAGCACTTAGCTATTGTAAATTGTGCTGCTATGAACATTGGGGTGCAAAGGTTCTTTTGGATTGGTGTTTCAGGATTCTTAGGATATGGTCCGAGCAGTGGAATTGCTGGGTCAAAAGGCAGATCCATTTTTAGTTTTCTGAGGAAGTTCCATACTGTTTTCCATAGTGGTTGTACCAGTCTGCAGTCCCACCAACAGTGCACTAGGGTCCCGTTTTCTCCACAACCTCTCCAACACTTGTTTGTTGCTTTGTTTATGATGGCCATTCTGACCAGTGTGAAGTGGTATCTCATTGTGGTTTTAATTTGCATCTCTCTGATAGCTAGTGATATTGAACATCGTTTCATGTGTCTTTGGATTTTCTGTATGTCCTCCTTGGAGAAGTGTCTGTTCAAGTCCTTTGACCATTTTTTAATTGGGTTGCTTGACTTCTTAGAGTGGAGTCATGTAAGCTCTT